TAGCCAATCGATTATATATCAATAAAAATTATAAGATCTTGTAACAAATGGTCTTTAGTCATGAAAAAAATTTTATACACCAAAAATATATTTTTAGAAAATTTCTATCAACTTTTAATATTAACATCTAAAGTACCATTTTAAAAAATGATTTAGAAATTTTTAGTTGGAAAATATAAACTAATGGTCTCTATATTTTCGAAAAGCTAAACTATATTTGCATTAAGCAATACATATCTATAATATTCATCTTTTAGAGGTAGAACCAAAGGCTATGGGAAATTCGAGATTAAGTTTGGATTAATTATGGATAAGATTTGAATTATTATTATCGTAATTTGTTGGAGAACTTTACTTGTTTTCAAAAATGCTAGCCCTTTTAGAATATTTATCAAACCTTATGACACTTTTAACAATAGATTAATCTTGTATATTATATTATCCAACACCAACAGAAGCTTCCTGATCAGTGTCTTTAGTTCTTCCTTATTGTTTTCCAAATGGTTAAATTCTGCTTTCTGATTATTTAAAAACACTTGGCAATTCATAAGAGCCAGGTCCTGGAATATCTTAAGGTTTTTATAGTTTATCTCTTAATAGAAAGATTTCTAAACTTTCTAATGATTGAAGTTTAGGTGGATGTTTTAGATATTATTAACTTGCAGTTTTTTTATTTAAAGGGGACTATGTTCCTAGATGGAGTTATTAGGAGTCATTCAACGATAATTTTGAGGTTCTTTATAATTTTTAGAGTTTAACAAGCTTTCCCTTTTTAATAAAGGAACGCGCTTGACTATCGAATTCATTGTTAAATTCATTTGGTTTATTGCTAAATTTAACTTATTTCTTAAGTTCTTAATAAATTTTATTTTATCTAACTCTTTAAATTCCACTTGCATAACTATGTAGAGGATAATTTAAATCAACTTTTTTATCGTAAGATAGCTATGAATCAGTTTATGGATATGATTCATTTTTTTTATGATGTCCATGTTTATCATGTTTATCGGAATGCATAAGTGTTGCTGGTTTATCTAATTTAGTAATAATATCGTAAAGACCAACTCCTGGATTAAAATTATCTTAATTAGTTTCTTTTTTTCCTTTTAAAAACATATTATAAATAATAATTTATTAAAAGACTTAATAATTATTTATTGAAGATAAATCTTACAAAAGTGATGATTAAAAATTTGAATATAATATGAAAATACAAGTATTGTTTATCAGTGAAGAAATACATCTTTTAAAATGAATGATAGAGTTAATTATATATATGATAAAATGTATTTAATAACTATAATCATATTTCTGTTGTCAACTATTTAAGATGAGTTCTTCTTTTAGGAACATGATGTCTTTAGGTTGATTGTTCATTTACAACTTAATAATTGTCAAATTCATCAATAATAACATGTGTAGGTTAAAAAGAAACTTACTTTTTATTACTATTGATGATGGATTTAATCTTTTTGTTTATGTTTTCCATTTCTATGTATTATCTTTATGTTTATATTTCTTAAAGTTAATAGAGATCTTCCATATTCCTTTAATGTAAGTTTACATGCAATGAAAGACTAGGAATGATAGGTAAGATTTAATCAATTTTCTAAGATGACAATCCATTTCCAATAGCACATCTCCTCCTAACAGTTTTTGGAAGTATAATATCTTCAGGAATTTCCAATACTAAGATTTTTTCTTGGTGTTCATCTTCTATTTTTTTAGGTTAACTATCAATTTGATTTAGAAATAAGGAAGGACAGAAAGATTTGTTTTTGATTAAATGTGTTTATTTTCTTTAAGGAATAGGAGTAAGATCAATAAAACTACCTTTTTTATACATTAATAATTATATGTGAATATCATACAGGAATACTATTATTTATATCATAATAAAGATTCCATAACTTTCATCATGGCTCTTTCTGGTCCTAATTCATTCCACTCTTTTCTTGATATCCAGAAATTAGCTCTATCTTTCATAACATTAGATAGAAATGATGCGCCAATGAATACATTATATTTTCTTCTTGCTGGATCCTAAAGTAAAATATAATATCAGAAATAAATACCAAGACTTTAATTTTAATTTTAGAGGTAGCAGCAAATGCTGTATTTCCTTTTAATACTGTTTCTTCGAATATGGATTTCAATTAATTTTATAATCTAGTAGGAAATCCTGGAAACATAGTAGTACCACCACTAATAAGAATATTTTCATAGAATGTTTTTCTAGCATCTATAGGAGATTTCTAAAGAATATAAACAATATTACTTAAATAGCATTAAATACTATATCAGCACATCCAGGTGCATCTTTACCAAGTAACCATGGAGAAAATAATATTTCAGGAGCCATATATCTTTCTTAACCAATTTTGATTTTTCCTCCATCAGGTAATCTAAAAAGACTTTCATGACATGTTGTTTCTTATGCTAATTTATTATCCATTCTAATATCAGAACTTACAAAACATAATGCTTCTTTAATTTCTCTAACTAATTCAAAATCAGCTGAAGAATTAAAAGCATATCCTCTTTAAAATAATAATTTGACCAATTAATCTGTTACATGTCTTCCTGCTATATTCATTCTCTAAGCTCCTTAATTCAAACAAAATCCATCATATACTGGCATACAATGTGTAACACCATCACCTGCATCAAGTAATAATGCTGTTCTCAATCCTTCTGCAAATAATGGTAATAATGCTTATATTCCTACATTGAGTTGATTGAATTCGAACTTCTCAAATTTTATTTCTGCCATCTTTTCTCTATTTTTTTTAGGATTTCCAGCTGCTTCTGTCATTAATACTGTTTAATCTTTTGGATCTATACCTAACTGAATTATTATTATTTTATCTATATACCTTCTTATAACCATATCCCCAAATTAATTCCATATCATCCCAATTTTTCACTACTCCTTCTTCTAATGGATGAGTTAATTCTAATAATCCTCTATATGGTTATGCTTCATCCCCTATCATTATTTCCTAATATTATAATCATTTCTATCTACTTTCAATTAAATATCATCTAATTATTCATCTGCTCTAAGTATTGGTCTTCCTACCATTGCTGGAAATGAATGTGCTGGAAAATTATCTCCCGCAAATCCAATCTTCAAATATCTAACAAAGATTCATTCTATACCCTGTTCCTGAATCTTCAATTAATGGCACAGACATTTTCTTTTATAATATAAATATTTCTTTTATTCATTATTTTATTTCAATATTAATATATTCTTATATTTTTTTTAATCTTTTCATCCTCTAAGCTCTCTTAATCTCATCTCATCTTTAACTCTCACTATAATATTAAAATTTTTTATATAAACATTATTTACAATGCATACTAATACACATTTTAAAATCTTTTCAGAAATCAAGATATAAGAACAATCAAATAATCCTACTCCAACATAATTTTTAAGTGCTAGAACTATAAGACCTTCTCTTTTTTTAAATGAAGATTTTCATCTTCCATTAATATCTCCTTAAAAAAAATAAGCTACTGAATATTAAATCATTAAATAAACTTTACCTAAAAGTTAAGCTGTCAGTCCTGTCTTTAGAAAAACTTAAACTGAAGAAGATGTTGAAGATCAATTTTTATTTTTAAAAAATACTTTCAGAAAATCAAAAAAATAAAAACTATTTATAAAAGACCACCATCAATCTCATTAATTCTTACCTTAAATTGAAGATCATTCCAATAAAAATGCTGAATATTCTACTCCTAAGAATTATATTTCAACTCTCAATAATATAACAATTGAATCTCAACCTTTTCACTCTCCTTTAACAAAATAAGGTACAATTGTTTTAAACTAAGAACATCCAACTCAAATCATTGATTATAGAATTTCAAAAGAAATTGCTCATCCATAACAAAATCATATTTCATCTCCTGAATAGATCAATTAAACAAATAATATTCATTAGCCACCACAACATAAAAAAACTGTTTCGTTTCGTAAATCAATTATTGTAATTGATATCAATAATGGACAAGTTTCCAAAGATTAATTATCAGAAAATGCTAAACCACTTTAACATATATAAAAAACAGAAATTAAAGAAGAACATCATGATGACGTCAAAAAAAAAATATTTCGAAAGACAAGAAATTTTCATCTAAGTGACATATAATCTGAATATCATGAACATTGATTAAGCTAATTAATTATTTTTTTTTATATTTCAATTAAAAAATTTATTTATTTCATTTAATTTATTGTAATTTATTCGTTTTCCTCATTCTAATTAATAAATATATTGAACTTTCAATAATTTACTATCAAAAATTCATAATTTTTTAGGTTAAATATAGATTCAAAATGGTTTAAATAGTAACTTTTATTCAGATTTTAAACAACAAATTATTTAAATGATCTGAAATCATATTGCAAAATAAATAAGTCAAAATTATTTTCTTTCAAAATTAAATTTATAAAATTCATCTTAAAACTCTTTTCTCAAAAGTAAGTTTAATTTTTAAAAGAATATCTTATGACAAAAAATTTTTTCCTAAATTTTTATTTAGAGGGAAATCGAATTATAATTAAATTTAAAATTTGAATACACAATTTCATGAAAAAAGGAACAAAAAAATAAAATAAAAAGCAGTCACATCTTTAATCAATAGATGAAATCAAAATAATCAATATTTTTGGTATTTATTTAAATCATATATAGATATGATGGAGGATCCAGACATGAAATAATTTTAAGTAATAGTAAAATTAGAAGATTTATAACAAGAAAACAGTGAGATTGTTTTATTAAGCTTTCTAAACTTCTATTTGAAATTAGTTGGACTTGATTAATGTAATCAAAATATGAAAGGAATAAATTTGAGCCAAATCAATTTAGAAGAAATCATTAATAAATTAGAGCAACTATAAACTGAAAATCAATAAACTCTTATAGATGAAGAATAATGCTTAAAAGTAGAAAATAATAAATAGCTTATTTAATTTTTTGATGCCTTATTTTCAACACAAACAGAGCTGCCATTTGAATGTGATAATTTTTTTTAGCACACTTTTAATTGGTTAACAACATTATCTTAAACAAAATTTCGAAGTGCAAGATTAGCCACAATAGAGATCATTTCAATAATTGTTAATTCCTTAAGTAGCTTTTTAGAAATAGTTAGTATAAATTATTTATCATTTCTTTAGAAAATAAATAACAGTAAAAAGAGATAAAATAATTTATCAATAATATTTTCTAATATTTAGTGAATAATAGAACCTAAGATGTTTAGTCAACTATTAAAAAAAAATCAATTTAAATATTATTTAGTGCATTTTTAAATAATTCAATTCCTATTGATCCATATCATAATTAACTAGGCAGTTTATTTTTAAGTGAAAGTCATGAATGTAGAGAAGCATCAATGATAGAATTAGAAAAAATTTATAAGAATTTAGTAGATAAAAAAAAATCTTTAGGACCTATTCTAGAATTTTTGAGAGGATAATAAGAATCCATTGTAAGTTTAATTTTTGATCCAAATGAAAGTGTTTAATTAAGATTAATAAACTTTTTAAAAGTATTAGATATTATAATTAATTTAGGCATTATCTTAATCTACAACTATTGATTAAGATTTTTTTGGTCAAAGAACCTGCTAAGCATTTATAAGAATATTATTTTCTAAAAATTTAAGAATTCGATATGATTCAACATCTATTTTATATTTATTTGAAAAACCCATAAATTCAGTTGAAAAATTGGCAGATTTCTATATGAAGTATGCCCCTTTTGAAATTTAAACATATGAAGAAAGTTTTAATTTTATAATTTCTTTCATTCATAGTCATCCATTTGTTTGTTCACCTGAATAATATGCTATATTTTTTGAGAATCAATAATCGGAAGTATTTTAAATTTTAGGATTATATTTTTTTGCTTCCTTTTTATAATATCAATTCATTTCTTCTAAATTTTGGTGGTTAGAGGAAGCTGATGATCCTCCATAATATAATGATGCATTCACTAATTATTTTATTAATAATACTAAAATTACATTAGACTTGATAGATGAAGTAAATTATATTTATTCTATTATAGAATTTATAATTACCCTACTTACATATTTATTCTCATTTGAATTATAAAATTATATAGAGCAAATTTATTAAAGGTATCTTTAATAGTGCTTAAAAAATTTTCTAAAAAAGTTAAAATATTTAAATAATCAATTAATTATGCAAAATGATCTATAATTGTAGTTAGGAGCTTTCAGATTCAGAAATAGTAAAAGATAATGTGAAAGAAATTATTAAATATTCTTAAAAAATATTTAAAGAAAAATTAAATCTTATCACATTATAAAAAATTGAATGTTTAATAAAAGTCAATTTAGTGAGTCCCAAAGCGGTATTAAATCCATTTAATACAATTTTTGAAATTAAAGATGATAAAAGTATATTGATTATTGCTAATTTGCTTGCTTCAAGTTTATAAAATTATTTAAAAGTTCTATTAAATTAAATGAAAAATTAAGATATTGAAATAGAACGTAATTATAAAGAAATAAGAGAATTATTTTATAACTATTGCTTTTAAATACTAGAAAATAAACATAAACAGAGATTTCATCTTTAAATTTTATAATTAGTTATATGCAATTTGATTTATACAAATAATTTTAAATTATAACGTTTAGGTTTGCATTAAGATATACAATCATAAACTTATACATTACTATATATGTATTTACATGATTATTTATTTGCTGAATTGATAAGATAGTCTAAAAATGATGATGAATATAATAATGAAAACAAAAAAAGAAAAACTCACTTGATTATAGAGAATTTCCCTTAATTAAGTGATCAATAAATGGAATTACTTAATAGTTCGATTAAATTAATTAATTAATGCCCTTAAATTTTATTAATCAAGGAATTTGGAATTTAATATCTTGCTTAAATATTGGAATTAATAAAAAACCATAATTACCTTAAAGATTTAAAAAATTCTATAATTCAAGCTCTTTAACAATCATTATAGAGAGTGGTTGAAAATGATCAAATAACGAAGCAGGATGAATTTTGGAAATTTTTGATGCATTATTCATAACTTAAATAAGAATAATAATAAGATGATTTGTTTAATGAATTTGTTAAATTATGCATTAATACATATTTAATTTCAGTAACAAAAGCAAATTTATTTGAGAAAAGAATCAAGTTTATAAATAATTGTGCAGAGATGATCCAATATGGATTTTAAGACATCAATAATTTGCATATTTTTGGACTATTAAATTTTATATTTCACAAGCCTTAGAAAATTTTAAAGGTTTTGTAAATAGATAAATTAACCTATCAGAAATTTTATGCATTTTATGAATCAAAAAGTTAAGAATTCCACTAAAGCAACAAATCTGAGGAATTCAAGAAGGAAGCTATAAAACAAGAATTTTCTTTTAGAAATAAATTAAAATAGTAAAGTGGTTTAACAAAGAAAGAAGTTAATTAAATAGTAACAAAAGTTTAAAAAAGTGCTTAAAAAGGAAGTATAGATTAGACTAGTAATAAATAGAGTATAGAAAAAGGAATAAAAAATAAAGAGAATGAGTAAAGATCATAATAATAATAACCTTAACAATCTGATGAAGATGAGGATATGGAAATTCCATTTTCAAAATCTATGATTAAATGATTATTTTTTAATTTTTACTCAAGTAGGATTCAATATACATCTGCATTTTTAAAATCTGAAAATTTATGTTCTTCATTTAAATTTTTAAATTTATCTTTTCCCAAAAGGGCTTCCATTAAAGGATCAAATTCATTTGTTTTGCTTATCATTGTTTTGCTAATTTTAAAAAAATTACATATACTTATTTAATAATTTAGCAATAACCATATCTATAAATCCTTTGATTCCTTATTCCTATTTTTTATCATGCTCCATTAAGAAAAATAAAAACATTCTTATTTTTTCTGTGGTGTCTTACCTTAAGATAACATCGTTAAAAGCATAAGAAAATGCATTTGCAAATGCAGCTCTAAAGCTAGGGTCCATTCCAGCATTTTTTAAGATTTCTGCAACTCTCAAATAAATTTAAAATGTACGCTTGATTTATTTCTTGTTCTTATGATAATGATTTACAAAATTCTTTCACTTCATATTTGAATATTGGATCATTTACTACTTAAATTATTAAATTTTATGTTTAATCTTAAATTTGTTTATCTGAAAGCAAATCTAAAACTAATTTTTTTCCATAAACTTTTGAATCATCTAAAAATGAAGGATCTTATATAGATTATTTAAGCAAAGTAACAATGCTATCTTATACCTGATGTTATTTTCCTAACCTTTAGACAAAATCTACTGATTCTTATTATACAATAGGATCTTTAAGAATTGTTTAAACTTCAGTCTAATTATCAATACAAGCTTACTTTAACAAAACTGTTAATAAACACTTCAAAAGGTTATCCTGGCCCTAATTCATTCTAAACTTATGAAACAAAGGAATTTCTAATTGTTTGAAACATATCCTTATAAATAGGATAAGTTATTAATGCAAATAGTGTTAGAATTTTTCCTTTATGTGGTTAAAGAACTAATTTGACATTTGTCCATTCTTGTTCAATATCAAATGACTTCTAAAATGTTTTGAAGGGATGCCTAATTGGTTAATATATTAATGTTAGGAATTTCTTAGTTTTATTAAACATTATCTAAAAATAAATTAAAACTTTAAATATAGTTATATATATAAATAATGGCATAAAATAGAGGATAACATAATTAGTTTTGGAAAATAAACAATAAAAATCATGCAAATTTACATAGATAAGAAACAATATTTTAATATTACTTTAAAATTTTAGAAAATAGTTTTATAATACTTTTATAAATTTTAGATAAATTTTTTTAAACATTTCAGTTGAAGGGTAATAACAATCTATGTAAATTTAAAGATGAATAAGATATTATTAATAAAATAAAAATTTTTGATTAAAAAGGATATAGATGGAAGAAATAATATAGATTGATTATAAATAAGATATCTAAAAAGTATTCATGTTAATAATGTTTGATAATTCAATTATCCATTCTGACTCTTCTTCCTTCAACCCATTCAGCTTCAACTTCTCTTGCTTCTCTATCTACTAAAATTCCTTTTCCATGTTATTTTCCATCTTTCCAATAACCTTTATATTAGTCTCCATGAGACCATTTAAAAATTCCATAGCCTTCTTTTTTATCTTCAACATAATCACCTAAAAATATTATTATTTAATATTACCACTATATTATTTTCCATCAGGCCAATTAAAATCTCCTTTACCATGCATTTTTTCATTTAACCATTATCCTTTATATTTTCTTCCATCTGCCCAAACATATTCTCCAAATCCTATATATATTTAGTTAATTTACCTTCCATTTTATTATCTCTAAAATCTCCTTCATAAGTTGCTCCATCGCTCCATTTACATTTTCCTTTTCCATCTTTTATTCCATTAACGTAGCTACCAATATATTAACCACCATCCGCCCACATTTCTGTGCCTTTTCCATGTTATAAATCTTCTAACCAATCTCCTTCATATATAGTTCCATCAGCATGATAATATGTTCCTTATCCTTATGCTCTACCATCAACCCAATCTCCATCCTTTAAATTAATAATTCTATTACATATGCCTCTCCGTCGTCTGCATGAATTACTCTTCCCTTTCCATTTATTGTATGTTAACTCCAAAATCCTTCAAAAATTGATCCATCTGGGTAAAATTGTTTACCTCTACCCCATCTTTAATGATTCTTCCATTGACCAACATATATAGCACCATTTTCAAATTACTATTCTTTTTACTTCATTAAATACATATGGTCCAAATTCAATACAATCATGAAATTATTAAAGAGAAGTTTCATCATATTAATAATCTCCAAGTTTTTCTAGAGTTTTACGAACCTATTCATTTTCTATTTAAAGATCTTTATCATATGCCTTAGCATCTTCAGGATTTGGACCATGTGTTTAAATCTGTTTTCTTAATTTTTCTCTTTAAGCCTAAAAATTATCAATTCTATTACTTCATCTTGAACATTTGCATTTTATTGAGGTTCATCAATTTTAGCTGAAAAAGATTCTTCAGGTTTTATTGGCTCTTTTTCTAAACATTCATTTTTTGCTTCCGTTGGCTTTAGTGTTTCTTAACAATCTTATCCCTCAACTGTTGCATCTAATTTTGCAGGAGCTGTTGTATTAATCTCCTAAGTTTATGGTGTTCCTAAACAACAAGTAGCACTCATAACTTTAATATTTTTTTTAATATTATTAAATCGAAAAAATTAACTCTATTCTTATGTAGTTATTCTTAGATACCATCATAATAACTAAGCTACTAAAATCAAAAGATCCTTATTGCTCTCATTTTATATCCTCATTAATAAAAACAATAATAATTAGTATTCACGATATTGATATATCTTATTAAAATTTTATTTATAAATACTATATTTTCAATTTTATTACTCAATCCGAATTTTAATTTTTTATCTCTTAGTTATAAAATAATTTAAATCTGAAGAATCATTTGTTCTTGCCTTTAATTTTAATTTCTTCAATATATTATTAGTGAATTTCGAACAATTTAATCAATTTAAACATCTTATTCTATTTATTTAAAAAAGATTTTTATTAACCTATTATAATTAATTATAATAAAATTAATAAAAAACAATAATATTTATTAATTTACATCTTTTATGAATCTTTAAATTATTTAAAAATCTTATAATTAAATTAATTACTAATTTTAATTTAGGTTACTAAATATATTTTACAATTGAATAAGGAGGAATTATTGATTATTTTAAATATATACTCTATATTTTGAACATAAATAGATTTATAAATTGGTCTTCTTAATGGAAAAAATCTAATATTTTTTGCACAAAAAATCTAAAGATATATTTTACTTTTTTATATCCTAAATAATATCCAACAAATCCTTTATCTTAAGTGAAGAACATTTAGATCTTACATCTATTTCATTAAATATTAATTCAATTATTCATAATTGTGAGATGAAATAGGATTACTTACTTTAATAGATTCCCTTATTGTTTATTATCCAATACTCTCATAAATGAACCTATTGATGATGTTGAGTATTAGATTAAATTAAATTAAATTCAATAATTTATTATTTTATTAAAAAAATATTTTCAGAATATTAAATTCTAGTAAAGATTTATTTTAAAAAATATATTTTTATGTTTGTTATAATCTTAATTATTCCTTTTTATATAACTCTATATTATTCAAATCAAAAATAAGCAAAAAATGTTAACAAAAAAGATAAAAAAACAAATAAATTTTTGTATTTTTTAATTAATGTAAAAGATGGTTTGTAAAAATTCTACATTTTATGATCAAAAATATAAAATTTTAATTTAAAATATCTAAATCACGTTGTTCTAATAGAGAGATTAGTGTATAAATCAATTTAAAATTTTGTTTTTTTAATATAAATTATAAAATGGGTAATCAAGAGTCTCAAGATGTATAATTACAAAACAAAGAGAAAGATTATCAAGTGAATCCTTATATGTAATCTAAAACGACTAAAAATTCATCAGATACTAAAAAAAGTTTAAATAGTATTTAATAATAGATGAACAAATAAATAATGACCCCTTTTAAGATGAATTTAAATTTAAAGATGAAATAAACTCAGAAGTAAAGATATACAGTTTTTTGGGAAAGCCTAAACAAGTAATTGAGTAATAATGATTGTATTTTTATAAATTAGTGGGAAGAAAAATGAAGGAAAGGAATAGAATACTCAAATAAATTCTTAATAAACCTAAAATTCATAAAATTAAACTAATAATAATTAATAAAGTAACAATTATTCTATATAGTTAAGATAATGGTAATATAGAAGGAACAATATAAATAGGAATAGCTCCAATAATATATATTGAGTCAGTTCAAACCACTTAGATTAGTATTGAAGAGTATTATTAGCCTTGGTTAAAATAANTTACTAATTTTAATTTAGGTTACTAAATATATTTTACAATTGAATAAGGAGGAATTATTGATTATTTTAAATATATACTCTATATTTTGAACATAAATAGATTTATAAATTGGTCTTCTTAATGGAAAAAATCTAATATTTTTTGCACAAAAAATCTAAAGATATATTTTACTTTTTTATATCCTAAATAATATCCAACAAATCCTTTATCTTAAGTGAAGAACATTTAGATCTTACATCTATTTCATTAAATATTAATTCAATTATTCATAATTGTGAGATGAAATAGGATTACTTACTTTAATAGATTCCCTTATTGTTTATTATCCAATACTCTCATAAATGAACCTATTGATGATGTTGAGTATTAGATTAAATTAAATTAAATTCAATAATTTATTATTTTATTAAAAAAATATTTTCAGAATATTAAATTCTAGTAAAGATTTATTTTAAAAAATATATTTTTATGTTTGTTATAATCTTAATTATTCCTTTTTATATAACTCTATATTATTCAAATCAAAAATAAGCAAAAAATGTTAACAAAAAAGATAAAAAAACAAATAAATTTTTGTATTTTTTAATTAATGTAAAAGATGGTTTGTAAAAATTCTACATTTTATGATCAAAAATATAAAATTTTAATTTAAAATATCTAAATCACGTTGTTCTAATAGAGAGATTAGTGTATAAATCAATTTAAAATTTTGTTTTTTTAATATAAATTATAAAATGGGTAATCAAGAGTCTCAAGATGTATAATTACAAAACAAAGAGAAAGATTATCAAGTGAATCCTTATATGTAATCTAAAACGACTAAAAATTCATCAGATACTAAAAAAAGTTTAAATAGTATTTAATAATAGATGAACAAATAAATAATGACCCCTTTTAAGATGAATTTAAATTTAAAGATGAAATAAACTCAGAAGTAAAGATATACAGTTTTTTGGGAAAGCCTAAACAAGTAATTGAGTAATAATGATTGTATTTTTATAAATTAGTGGGAAGAAAAATGAAGGAAAGGAATAGAATACTCAAATAAATTCTTAATAAACCTAAAATTCATAAAATTAAACTAATAATAATTAATAAAGTAACAATTATTCTATATAGTTAAGATAATGGTAATATAGAAGGAACAATATAAATAGGAATAGCTCCAATAATATATATTGAGTCAGTTCAAACCACTTAGATTAGTATTGAAGAGTATTATTAGCCTTGGTTAAAATAAAAGTTGCAAAGGATTGGTAGATATGAGCCTCCTGAAAAATTTGTGGATGAGACTTCAGAATTTATAATGAATTATTAAATTGATGATAAATAAAGATACTAGGGATTTTTCAAGAAAGGCAAAAGACATGGTTATGGAATAAATTTAACATAAACTGAATAATTTGAAGGAAATTTTTAAGATGGAGTTAGAAGAGGATGGGGAAGAAGTTTAACTTAAAACACTCAAGAAGTATTAAGGATTAAATATAATAAAAGTCTGGTTATTGGGAAATAGATAAAATTTAGAGGAATATGGAAATAAATACAAAAGATGTGTATTATTGTGGAGAATGTTTAAATTCTATGCCACATGGTAAAGGAATTTTGAAACGACAGGGTATTTCAACTTATACAGGATATTTTGTATAGGGAAGAATGGAAGGAAAAGGATTTTATGAAGATCTTGTAGAAAAAGTAAAGTATGATGGAGAGTTTAAATGTGATCTTTTTCATGGTTTAGGAACTTATTACTTTGTTAGTGGTAAGAAGTATGTAGGACAATTTAAGAATTCTAAATTCAATGGATAAGGAGAAATGTTTTACCCTAATAATTCTTATTATAAAGGTAAATATATATAGAAATTGGATTAGGTCAATTTGTAAATGGATTATTTGAAGGTTAAGGATACTTTTATGATTAAGTTTAGTAGTCTATATATGATGGACAATGGAAGAGTGGAAAAAAAAATGGCAAAGGAAAATATACTTATTAAGGTATAGAAGTTATTGGATTTTGGTAAAATGATCAATTGTAAGAAGATCATTGAAAATTTTCAATTTATCAAATAATTATATTAAACTTTTAAAACAATAATATTTACCTTTTTTTCATTCGTATGATCTCAAAATCTACTGAAATTAAATAAAGAATAATTACTTACATTAGGAAAATATTAAAGCAAAGTAAACTAATTTTAATTATATGAGAAGAGTAAATCTCAAAGTGTTATAAGAAAATAATTCTAAGTAGAGAGCATCATAATTCTGATTAATCTTAAAATTTTTTTTGACTTTTAAGAAAAATAAAAACAGAAATAAAAGAAAAAAACTCATATATTAAGCTTTTACTCTAACAATATCATTTATTAGATATTTTAATGGATATAACCATTAGATAAAAAAACATAAGATCATATTAAACTGTTATATATGATATGCACGAATATTAAAATACTTATTTAGCATAACTTAAAGAAATCATGAAAGAAAAAAATATCTCCACAATTTCTACTATTCAAAATGAAGAAGAATGGTTCATACTGATCACTATTTCTCTAAAGATTTGCCCCTTAATTCTAATAACTTATTTCTGTTCTTGAAACTTTGCTTATAAAGGACTATTTCAAAAACTCTTTTCCAATTCTTATTCATAGTTTCTAATAAATAAATGAATCCATCAAGAAAATTTCAATCTAATTTACCATTACTTTAACATAACTAGAAATTCAACCCTCTGAATTATATTTTTAGTATTAGGGATATATAATAAATATTTAATCACTCTCTTTCAAGCTTAAATAAATAGTTCCTTCAACAAAATTTTACTTTTTAAATATCAGGTTTTTTTCTATTTGTTTTTCTTTATAAATTTAATCTTTCATTTTTGTTTATCTTATAATAAAACTTATATTACGACAAAAAAGATATTTTACTAAATTCTTGAAAGAGCAAAAGAAAACAAATTTAGTATTCAATTTATATTTTGGATTATCTTAAGAGAAATTTTGATATTACTTTTTATAAAAATATTTTACATTTAATTTATTCTAATCTATAGAATATAATCAATATTATTTTTATTTTGTAGTAATAAATTTAGAAAAATTTTGAGATTTACTATTT